TACGGCATGAGGAGCTCCTTTTCGCGAGGTCGCCGATTATGTGAGAAATCGCAGCGCCAGACTGCGACAAAAGCTGAGAATAGAGTACTAACTGAACTGTCAATTGCGCAAGTGCTGCTGCTGTAGTGCACGTTGACATATTGCACATAATCAGAAGAGTTGATGTTGCTTGCCAGCGACCTTCATTGTTTGATCTCGCAGGTCGAAGTTTGGTTCCTTCCTTCCTCGTGTTTCAACTTGCAAGGAAAGCTGATAGACCAGACCTGCTCATGATAACTTCACAAAAGAGGCCCATGAAAATTCAACAACTAGAGACTGCTGACGTGCGCAAATTATGAGTCTACGTTTCATGCTTACTCTTGCCACTTCTGTGCGTGTTGGAAGGTGGTCACCACTCCGTGCAAGAATGGGGGGAAGCTAAAGAGCGCGAAAGAGCTTTTTCAAAAGAGCTCTCCCTGCATTGTGCTAAGATGTGCTCTCCGTTTGCTTTGAAATCATTTAGCACCACGCATCAGTTTCTGCGCAAGTGAGGAAGTAGAGGCAACGCCGCTCCGCAAAAAAAGCAACAGATCTAGGCCCTTCTGCAGGAATGCACGAGCGCGGCAAGAAAAGCAAATCGGGCCCGCGCTGTGACCACCATGGACAGCGGCGCGACCTGAAAAGAGTCGCCGGGGCCCTTCCCTGGCGGCGCACAGAAGCTTGCCCTTGCGGAATGCTAGGCGCACTGATGCGACCGCAAAATCGCCCATGAGCTCCTGCTGGAACTTGAAACTGCATTGGCAGGCCCTCGCCTTCCGGTACAATGCAGTGTCCGTGTTTTATGTTTTTTGTACTTCAGTGTGTTTGCTGCGGCGCAGAGCTCCGAGCTGTCCAGGTAGCGAATGTAGCTGCCCGCAGAATATCCTCCAGGTGCAAAGGGGAACTACCCCGTTTTGGTTCCCCCTTTTTTCAACAAAGAAGGAGCGACACAGCGACACTCTCCATGCCTGGTGGAACCTGCCATCGAAAGTGCAGGATGCAAAACCTCGCGAACCCTGATTTTCCTCTCATGCCTTCACCTCGTACTCCGGGGGTGCACTGAAGTCGAAGGTCACAAGCCTCATCTCAAGATTCTCAAGACATTTGAGGACCAGACGGCTGCTGTCTCACAGGCTCCCGGGCTCGCCGGGCATGCACGTTGCGGGTGCTTTCACCTCCCGTGGCAGCTCCCAAAACAAAGCACGAACGCTGGCCCTTCAGAAGCCCATTGCGACAGCCGCCATAGCGATAGCCTCCAGCTTGAAATCCTGGCCCTCCACCTCGGCAACACAACAAAAACAGCGACTCTTCGTAGCTTGCGTGCATCTGCCTTTTGTGTACGACGTGCACGCTCAACCTCAGCCACATGCCGTGATCGGCCCCCCATCAGCGGGCACCACGGCACTAAAGGTTACCTCACAAGGAGGCAAGACACAGCAAAACGTTAAGAGCATGCGCATTCCCTTCGTACCTTCCTCTGTCCTCTGCCTTCCTCTGCCTTCCTCTCTGTGTTGGGCGTCCCGGCGCTGGGCGAGGCCGCAGCGGCAGTGAAGTCCTCGGGCGGCGGAGACGTGGACGGGTGCTGCAGCGGGAAAGCCTCTGCCTGTGAGCGGCAAAAACAAGACAACGCATAAATGAAAGGAAAAGACATGGCGATCCTCAGTGAAGAAAAGAGTAGCAAAAATAGTGTGTCCAGGAGACCACATAAGTCAAGCACTTGCGACCGCTTCGCTCCCAACTCTGTCACGAAGTCGGCGATGCTTGTTAAGCCACCTTACTCGTTGTGTATGTCAATGCGAAACGCATCTATCAGGAGACTTCGAACTTGTGCGACTGTCAAATTCTGAAACCTGCAAACTCTTGAACCTTGTCAACGATCAAGCTGAAGAAGCCGCACATGAGGAATTGCACAAACAAGCTTGAGCAAACATGATCTTCCATTTGGGCATGGACGAGTGCAGGACAACAGAGGGACATCCTGACATTGTGCCCCAGCACCAGCATCAAACAATCCCATCTCTGTTTCAACTCTAGGCTAATCCTCCTCCTCATCGATCCAAGCATGCAATGCCTCGACCTGAAGCGCGGCACAACAACAAATCCAACGCTGAAAAGGGCGAACAGTTGTATTTCACAAAACCCCAACCTCACTGCTGGCAGTCACCACAACCTCCTCTCGGCAATGACAAGCCATGACAAGAACTGCAGATCTGGACATGTTGTGAGTGTTGTGTGGGCAAAACAACCCAAGCCTCCGATGCACAGCTTCCAAATGGCGCACAACATGGCCGGAAGCTTTGCAGCATGTGGCAGAACAAAAACAGCCCCAACTGCATTGCATACAAAAAAGTCAACGACAGGCTATGCTTGAACAGACCCACTACACATTTGCTGGAAATTTTGTTGTGCTTGAGGTGTTTCCAATGCGAAGATGGCCAGCCATATACGGGACATGTGCACCTGACGTAGCATGCCATGCACCATGCACGTGGTTTCTGTCCGCTCATGAAGTTCCTAAACCCCCGGGAGCCCTTGGACAGCGCTGAGCTGCAATGCTACTGGCTGTTCGGGCTTCTTGGAACCCCAAGGTCTCCTTGCGCCCCGGTGCTATCTAGACAAAACACAAGAGCATGAACGGGTGCAAATTTGTAACCAATCAGATACACTTGATTGCAACAGAAAAAACCAATGGCGCTGCGAGGTGCTTGCGAGTCGAACACGAACGCATCCGTGCCCGGCATGTGCAACAAACAAGGTAACGCCCCGCGAAACGACCCGCGCCGTAGCAGGCTGGTTTTTTGGGTTGTTTTGTTAGTTTTGTCGAGGTCAAAGCACGATTTCTGCATGACATTGTTTCGATAGCAGGGCCCAATGTCACGCACCGTCCGAACGTTTGGAGCGAATGTTTTGTCGAGTTTGCGGTTGTGGGAAGCCTTTTTTTAGTGGTTTTTCCCAGGCGAAAAGCACGTTTTGGTGTTACATGTCACGGTCGCGCGTAAACAGGTTTTCACGGGTTTGCGGATAAAATGGGTTTTTTTATTTTTTAAGTTAAAGTAGAGCTTCCGGGGCTTAGTTGTTTTTTTTCGGGGGGGGGGGGGGGGGGGGGGGGGGGGGGGGGGGGGGCAGAATGGTGTTTTTTCCTCGGAAAAACGCGCAGTTGGGTTTGACAAGGTCTGTTCTGGGGAATCCTATTGAGACAGGAGAAAAATGGTATTCGTATGTGGTTCCTTGAAAACGTCATAGTGTTGTCGATTGAAAAATGTAGTTTTTCTCGAGCGGTGCTAGCGTTTCGGTGTTTTGTAGAAAGCTCAGAGTGCAGGGCACTTCTGGTCTTGCACTGCTTCGGGCTTTGGTTTGAGGATTGAGGGTGCATGACACTTCTGGCTTACACTGCTTGGTGCTTTGGGTTGAGGATTGAGGGTGCATGACACGTTTGGGCTTGCACTGCTTCGGGTTTAGGGTTGAGGGCCTGGGGTGTAGGGTTTAGGGTTTAGGGTCAAGGGTTTAGGGTTTAGGGTTTGAGGGTTTAGGGTTTCGGGTTTAGGGCTTCATGGCTTAAAGCCCTGAAGCCTTTCCTATAGAGACCCCTGAGCACTTAAGCCCCAAAGCCCTTCGCTTCTCAAGCCCTTAGGTCCGAAAATCCTGCAGACCCTAAACCCCAAACCAGCTTCTGTAAGCTCGCGAGTCGATGTTTTGGGTTTGGGTTGCAGGGCTTAGGGTTAATAGGGTTTAGGGTTGATAGGGTTTAAGGTTTAGGGTTAGGGTTAGGGTTTAGGGTTGAGGCTTCGGACCCCCACCCCCCCCCCACCCCCCCCCCCCCCCCCCCACCCCCCCACCCCCCCCCCCCCCACCCCCCCCCACCCCCCCCCCCCCCCACCCCCCCCCCCCCACACCCCCCCCACCCCCCCCCCCCCAAAAATTACTAAAAGGGGGATTCTCAGGACTTACTCATCATTCGTTGCCCCCCTCCGCTGTTATTTCACATCCTAACCCGCCTTCTTCAATTTCTTCTCCCCTTCCACCTCATTCGCTTTTCAGAAGGGGCTTCTAGGGGTTATTGACCAATATTGCCCTTTTGCCCTCGGTTTTCAGCATTTTTTCATCATACATTTCCACCTCATTCGTTTTTACACTCCACTCCCTAACATTCTTTCCAATTCTCATACCACCGCCCTTCATTCATTTCCCCTAATTTCCATCCTACTTTTCCAAAGCTCCCTAACAATATTCTTACCAAAGCTCGTAATGCTTGAAGTCCTTTCCACATCCTTTCAAAGACCAGAGAAGCGACCGACATCTTCCACAACAAGCTCTTCTCGGCGCGCCTTCCTCGCTTGAATGCTTCTGCGTCAAAGCAGTATAAAGCAGTTGAATTGACTGTCATTGTTTGCTTTATTACCGTAGCGGTTTATTTCAAGATGGAAAGCCCAATAGAGAATGACGACGGAAATGACGATGAGCCTGGCGACAAGTATGTGGACATCTACAACAACATCATAAAGGACGATGGAGCGATAGCTGTTCTCAAAGCACAATGTCCTGTCTTGAAGATTGTCTTTGAAAAGAATCTTCTTTACACCCGTGAAGACTTGGCATCAATAATCTTTCAGGATATCAGCGATACGTTCTTCGGCAACTTACCAGACGACCCCAATGATGGCAAGACTCTTTCAGAGTTCAATGTGGAGGAGGAGATGGAAGGGTAGCGTGAGTTTGCCAGACATTGTGCTTTCAATGATGAAGACTGTATCACTACAAAAGAAGAATTCGACAACGCCATCTACGACTTTATGTATAGCAACTACTGGTACTAGCGAAGGGTCTTTCCAGCGAGGCTTGAAAATGTCTTGCGTGTGAGCAGTTGCCTTTGGTTGTGTGCTAATTGGAAGAGCTTGAAAGCTCGAAGCATCTTGAAAGCTGTTCTTAGCCTTTTCATCCCGAGCGTTTGTGATTGAGTGTGTTAAGTTAGACCTTCGGAGGCAATGGCTTCTAAGGGTGGATACGAGCACACAGCAGCCGATGATGAGTTGCTCACCAATGCCCTTCTTGAAGAATCTTCGCAGGGCGAGGGTGACGATGAGACCGATGCTTCTTCAACCGACACAGAGCAGGAGGGTGAGCAAAGCCCAGACCATCAGGAGAGCAAAGACAAGGACGCCGACGACAAGAATGATGACGGCGAGGGTTCAACAGCAGTTCTCAGTCAGGCGGCTGGGAGTTCTTCTACCGAGCCTTCGGTGGAGGTGAGCAAGGACATGCTGATGAAGCACATCATCAACATTATGAAGGATGCCAAGACCAAGGAGGACTACGAGGAAGCCCAGAAGAAGCTTACAATCCTCACGAAGACCGCCTACGACGCCATGATGAAAACCAAAGCCACCATCAGAGCCATTGAGAAGGATGAGAAGAAGAAACTTTCAAAGGACAAGAAGGAAAAGGACAGAAAGAAGGCAGCAGAGGAGCACCGTGAGTTGCTCGCCTCACCCGTTAATGTCAATGTGGCGATTGGTTCCGAGGTCTTCATCGTCACGCTTACGAATGAGGACACGGTGGGTGAGTTGAGGAAGCGTGTCATCAAGATTTTGCGAGACTTGAACCGCAAGACCAACGTAAAGGGCAAGATTTCCACTTCGGACGTGATTTTGCTGATGGGTGACGTGTGTCTGACAGAGGCACCGAGAAAGACGCTTCTGAAAGCTGCTGTGAAAGATGGCGCGAAGGTGATTGCAAAGCCTACCATCAGGGGAGGAGGAAAGAGAGCCACGTCTGGGTCTGCCAAGGTTCCCTTTGACGACAAGGTCTCTGAGCTTCGCGAGGAAATCAATCTACACTTGATGATGTTGAAGATTGCCCCGACGCCCTTGACTGCGGAGGCTACCAAGTTGATTGAGGCGATGTTGAAGAAGGTTCTTACCAACCCCGACGAATTGGATAACATCCTGAAAGCCAACACGATTGAGAACTTGAAGCGTGTCCAGTCCTTGACCTCAGCGAGCAACCTTGACAGTAAGGTTGGTGGCATTTCAAAGGTGCTCTTTGACGGCATCTACAACCGCCTCTTGGAGAACCAGAAGCAAATCTTGACAACCGAGAAGGCTTTGAAAGCCTTGTTTCATTTGAGTGCTGTCATGAAGTATTCCTCTTGCGAGTTGCCTGTCATCCAGTGGGGTCTGATGGGCTCAGATGTCGTTGAGTTGATTGCAACCAAGTCCCGCGAAGCGGGAACACGAAACATGGAAGTGTGAGTAGGAAATCCTGTGCCTGATTTCCTGCCTTGGCTTCACGAAATCCAGAAGCCGATTTTGGAAGAGCATGGTAAGGATTGCCACCTCCGATTGCCTCACGCGCTACAATCCTAAACCCCCTGTAAAATAGGAAATTTTGGTAGGAAATCCGAATAGGAAATCCGAATACCGATTTTGAACACAGCGTGTCCGAAATCACAGTGGCGATTTCCTTGCTAGGCTTGGCGATGTTCAGCTTGATTTGTCAGTGCTGTCGTACGCCATAGAAGCCAGACCGAGAGCACAACCGCACGAAAAAATCAACCGAAGCAGTATGTTAAGCAGTTGTCATCACCGTCGTCATCACCAGCTTTCTTTCAACATATACCAAATTCACATCATGACAGGTGAAGCTGAACCAGAACATCATTGTCGCCGACGACTTCTTGAAGGTTCGCGCTTCTTAGGGTTTAGGGTTATCTAATTTAGGAAATTTCTCAACTTCGGGAAAAGGATTGGCTCCGAAGGTTGAACAACCATCTCAGAACAGGAGCGGACAAGCGTCCGACTGTTTATTTAAAACAAAGCATTGAGGGTTTAGGGTTTAGGGTTTAGGGTTTAGGGTTATTTAGTTTAGTGGTTCTGCACCGCCCTCAGTCCGTCTTGCATTTAGGGTTGTAGGGTTTAGGGCTTTCGGTTTAGGGCTTTCGGTTTAGTGCTTTCGGTTTAGGGCTTTTGGTTTAGGGCTTTCGGGTCTTTCGGTTTAGGATTTTTTTCTCATTTTTAATTCCGCCTTTTCAGGCGATAGAGGTAAAAACAACGAGTTTTTTCTTTACAACCTGTCGGTTGATTTTTACTCCGCCTTGCCGTAGGTTCGCACAAACCACCCTTCACACAACCACACACGGAAAGAAAACACAAACGAAAAAACATAGGAAAAACCCGAACAAAAACAAGCGAAAAATTAGAAAACATCAGTTTTTAAAATACTGATTATATAGGACGGACTTTTAAACACCTACCCGAGGGAAAAATCACAACCAAAACCAATAAAAAAGCAAAACATCCGAAAAAACATTGAAAAACACTGACAAAAGCAAGCGAAAAATAAAAACAACAGTTTTTAAAATCGTATTTATAAAGGAGGTACTTTTGAAACACCAACCCGAGGGAAACGTTGCAACATCAAACCAAAAATCAAAAGCGCCAACCCCAACCCCAGCCCAAAATCACTTAAAGAAAAGCCACCTTATACTATAATGGAGCCAAGGGAGTACCGTTCAGTGTTAAATTTCTTATTTTCAGATAAACAAGCAAACATAAAACGTAAAGGTAATAAGGATTACAAAAAAGTTATTATAAATGATGTTGAATATCCATATAACAAAGAAAAGCCACTAGTTAAAAATTTGAAAACAAAACTGGAACAAGTTTCAAAAACTCCACAATACAGACGCTTTAAAATACTTGAAAAAGCTTCCAAAGGCATTTTAGTAAGAAAGGCTTTAAAAAACTACGCTATTAAACACAAAGCCACAATCACCGACGAGCAATCGGCTTTAACATCTTACGCTAACACCTACTCAATATCTAACATAAAACTTCCTCATATGAAAGGCTTATCTTATTTCATACACCAAAAAGACAAACTAAACGAATATCTTAAAAAACACAAGTCAATGAAAGTTATAGCTTTCGTTGAAATTGTTTTTGACGACATAGAAACAGAAGACGAAATAATACACTCAATAAAATCTAGACGTTACAATATATTTAATGAAGATGATTTAGTAAATGCTTTAAACAATATGGGTAAGGACATAGAAATAACAGTAGCAGAAAAACAAATAGAAAGGTCAGGATTAAGAATTAAAAAAATTCACAAAATCACGATACATTATGACAAATACGACCCTACACGAGCAGGAAAATATTTTGACTTACCCGAATGGATTATGAGAAAGAAGGCTTGCATCAACATAAAAAACGACGATGATATGTGTTTTAGATACTGTGTCTTATGTAAGTTTTACGAAATATTCAAAAAAGACCACCCTCAAAGAATGTATCATTATAAAAAATATTTAGAGAGCGACAGTTTCCTAAAATGGGATGATATGAATTATCCAGTTTGTAATGATGACATTGACCATTTTGAAGAAATAAACGGAAGAACAATATCAATAAATGTTTATACCATAGATGAAGAAAAGAAAACAATAAGACCCGACCGAATAACAACAATTTCAAAGCCAGTTTGTCACGTAAATCTTTTACGAATAGACCACGACGACGTTTTTAATCATTATGTGTTAATAAAGGACTATTCCAGACTTATGAGTTCTCAAACCAACAACCACAGAGAAAAACTATTTCACTGTATGTATTGTCAAAAAGGCTTTCAACAAGAAGCGCTTTTAACAAATCACATAACAAAAGGTTGTCTAGCTAATGAAGTCCAATCCACACAGATGCCAGAAGAAAACGAAAAAATGCAATTCCAAAATCATTACAAAAAACTAAAAGCTCCTTATGTAATATATGGTGATTTTGAATGTTTAACAGCACATTCAAAAGAAGGAATTAAAGGCACTTATCAACATCATAAGCCTTCTGGTTTTATGCTAAACGTTGTAAATTCAATAACGAACGAAATGACACCTTATCTATACCGCGGAGAAGACTGTATGAATAAATTTTGCGATACAATGAACCAAATAAGAGAAGACGTTTTTGATAAAATGGCAGATGTTAAACCGTTAGACCCAACAGATGAAGAAGAAGCACAGTTTAAAAAAGCTACTCGGTGTTTCATTTGTAATCAAAAATTCACTGATAGCAAAAATCAAAAGAAGGTTCGTGATGCGAAGCTCACGAAGCTTACCCCACAGGGTAAGGTTCGTGACCACTGCCACTTTACAGGAAAATATAGAGGCGCGGCACACGTAAAATGCAATCTTGATTTTTCTTTCAGATACTTTAAAATTCCCATTTTCTTCCACAACCTTAAAAACTACGATGCTCATCTCGTTATATCTAACTTGGCAAAGCTAAACACAAAGAAAGACCAAATAAGCGTCATAGCACAGAACAGTGAAAAGTTCGTAACTTTTGAACTTAAACAGTTGCAGTTCAAAGATAGTTTCAGTTTCCTATCTTCTTCACTGGACAAGCTAGTAAAATTAACAAAATATGAAGGAAACGAAAAAAGAACCAACTGGCAGGACAACTTCAAATACAGTAAAAACAGCAAATACATAAAATCAGACGAATGCCTTGATTTATTGACTGACAAAGGCGTTTATCCTTATGACTATTTTGATAACTTCAACAAGTTCAACGAAAAAGAACTACCACCAATAGAAGAATTTTACAGTAAGCTTACGGAAGAGCACATAAAACAAGAAGAATATGAAAGAGCACAGAAGATATACAAACATTTTAACATTAAAAATTTAGGTGAATATCACGACCTTTATCTTCAAACAGATGTTTTATTATTGACCGACGTCTTTGAAAATTTCAGAACAAAGTGTCTAGAAGACTATCATCTTGACCCCGCTCACTACTTCACTTTACCTAACTTCGCTTGGGACGCTATGTTGTTAAAAACAGGAATAAAACTGGACTTAATCTATGATGAAGAGATTTATAAAATGGTTGAGAAGGGACTTCGTGGAGGAATGTGTCAGGTCTCACACAGAAAAGCCGAAGCAAACAATAAGTATATGGAAGAACAATACGATGAAACTAAACCCTCTTCTTACATAAACTACCTTGACGCTAACAATCTTTACGGTCTGGCGATGTGTCAAAAGTTACCTTACAAAGATATAAGATGGATTAAACGACAATTTACCGAAGACGACATCAAAAATTATTCCGACCTTTCCACTGGCTATATTTTAGACGTTGATTTAGAATATCCAAAAGAGTTACACGATAAACATTCTGATTATCCATTAGCGCCCGAAATTATGAATGTTACTGCTGATATGCTTTCAGAAGCGCAAAAAGACATTTACAGAAAAACTTATACCAAAACATATAAAAATGGTGAAGTTGTAGGTCTAGACCCGAAAGACGAAAAGACCAAGAAATTAATATTGAATGTAAATGACAAATCCAATTATGTTCTTCACATTAACATTTTAAGATACTATTTGAAACAAGGGCTGAAACTTCAAAAGGTTAATAGAGTTATAGAGTTCAAACAGAAGCAGTGGCTAAAACCCTGGATTGACTTCAACACAGACAAGAGAAAACAAGCCACATCGGACTTTGAAAAGGATATGTATAAATTAATGAATAACGCTGTATATGGAAAAACGATGGAGAACGTAAGAGAACATATAAATTTTGAACTGGTTGATACACCCGAAAGATTTCAAAAGTGCGTTAATAATCCTACTTACAAGCACAGACATATTATAAATGAAAATCTCGTCGGAGTTGAAAAGTTAAAGGAAACAGTTAAGCTGAATAAACCTATATATGTTGGAATGTCCATTCTAGACTTATCTAAATTACATATGTATTCGTTTTATTATGATGTTTTAAAACAAAAATACGAAGATAATATTAATCTGATATACACTGACACAGACAGCTTCGTTATACATACAAAAACGGAAGATATATATGATGATTTCAAAGAGCTTTCTAAACATATGGATTTCAGCGGTTATGACAAGAATCACAAATGTTATGACCCGTCTAATAAAAAGGTTCTTGGGAAATTTAAGGACGAGTGCGATGGAAAGATTATGACACACTTCATAGGCTTGAAACCTAAATCTTATGCTTTCAGGATTTTCAAGGAAGACAAGGAAGAAAAGAAATCAAAAGGCATAGTAAAACACAAAGTTAAGAAAGAACTGACCTTCAAGAAATACGAACAGACATTAGAAACAACACAATCTGACAAAATATCTTTCAACAGCATAAGAAGCAAGAACCATCAAATATACACAATAAATCAGATAAAGCAATCATTAAGTAGTTATGACAATAAGCGTTAT